CCACGTTCGTTCCTGCTGGTCAGGAGCTCGCGGTTCGGTCGCGCGGTGAAAGCCGGTGTGAGGAGCCCCCGTGCAGAGCCCAGCTGCTCCCGCCGTTGGCCGGCCTCCCTCCGTCCGGGCGCCGCCTCAGCTCTGCTGGCGCTCTGCGTGTGACGCCTGGGCTTTCCCTTCCAGTGGCTTCTCTATCGGTACAGTTGCATTGACGACTCTGGCTTTGAAAAGTTTCTGCCCAGGGTTTGGTGCCTTCTCCGTCGATATCAGGTACCGTCTCGTCGCAGTTGCTGCACGTCGGAAAGCCTTGGTCGTGGTGGGGAACTGGACTTGGCTTTGCTCTGGGGGGGTCCACAGCTCTGGGGGTCTGAGGCAAAACAGGGCTCAAACTGGGTCCGTTGCCTGCTCCCGGTGTTCTGAGGTAGGACTGCGGTCTGGGGAGCAGTTGTGATCTTGCCAGGAGACCGCGGGCGGGTAGAGATAAATCTTTGTGAAAGAAACCCTCAGTAGTTCTTGACTCTGAGGCCCAGCTGAAGGTTCATGGGGGGTATACGTGCGAACTGACAGTTGGTTTGTGGGGCCTGAGTTGGATGAAATATCTAAAGAGCATTCTTGGGTACACGCAGGGGACCTACACGAATTTGAGAAAGGACGAGGGGGCCCTGCGTCCCTAGCGGAGTGGGTGCATGGACGTGTGGCCCTGGGTCCGTGGTCAGTGGAGGGACAGGAGGACAGCAGGAACAGCGAGTGCAGGCACGGCTCACCGGGGTTTGCTCTCCTCAGATGATGTTCGGTGTGGGTCTGTACGAAGGAACTGGTCTGCAGGGGGCACTTCCCGTGCACGTCTTCGAAGCCCTCCACAAGCTCTTTGGAGTGAGTTTTGAATGCTTTGCCTCGCCCCTGAATTGCTATTTTAAACAGTACTGTTCGGCCTTCTTGGATACAGACGGGTATTTCGGATCCAGGGGGTGAGTCTTACGTTCCAGTGCTTTTCTGCGTGGGCGGTGGCTCGAGATGGGCCAACGTGTGTGTGTGTGTGTGTGCGGGGTGGCAGCCGGTGGCGTGGGGTGGCTTGGAAGGGGGGGGACTGCTGGCCTGTCTGAAGGCAGCGGGTGGTCGCTGACGGGCTGTGAAGCCGGCTGGAGTGAGCTGCTACTCTGGTCAGGGGGCTCCGGTCCCTGGAGGCTGCCCGCGCCTGCCCTTCCTCTGAGGAAGAGGGACCTGGGCCCTCAGCCGTCACCGTCGGTGACTACAGGGGGAGCGTGGCCCCACAGAGCAGTCGCGCTGTGAGCAGCGGCAGGCCCTGCACCGCTGGGCACTGAGGCTTTCTGAGCAGGACCTGCCTTTTCTGAAGAAACGGGTGACGTTTAAGGTGTGACAGTTAGAATTTTAGCCACTCTGATAGGGATCTCTGCCTTTTTCCTCCAGCCCGTGCCTGGATTTCTTCCCTATCAGTGGCTCTTTTGAGGCAAATCCTCCGTTCTGTGAGGAGCTGATGGATGCCATGGTCTCTCACTTTGAGGTACGTTTGCCCACCCGTGGAGCTGTTCCGAATGGGGCTCCGCAGTCAGTCCTCTTCTGCCCCCGCCCCCTCCCAGCAGGGCTGTGGTGCAGGAGGCAGAGGACAGTGCAGCGGCACCGCTCTGGAAGCAGAAGCGTTCCCTTTCCGTAGGCCTCGTTAGTCGTTGCTCAGCCAGCGCTGAGACTGTTCGTTTTCTTGTTGAACTAGAAACTGCTGGAGAACTCCAGTGAGCCTCTCTCCTTCATCGTCTTCATCCCCGAGTGGCGGGACCCTCCTACCCCAGCCCTGACCCGCATGGAGCAGAGCAAGTTCAAGCGGCACCAGCTCATCCTGCCAGCCTTTGATCACGAATACCGCAGCGGGTCTCAGCATGTCTGCAAAAAGTAGGCCTGTTTCTGGGGTCCTTCTGGGAAAGCCGTGTGACAGGAATGTCCTACCCGAGGCTGAAATCAGTGGGAAGTAGGGAGTGGGCAAGGAAAGCGCAGCCTGTAATTGCCCTGGGTTTTAAGATGGGCATACAGCATGTTGGGACTGTCACGTCCATATAACGACCGCTGAGCTGTTTAGCAAAGAAAGAGCTTGGGAGTGGCGTGTCCCTCGGGCACAAGTCCAGCCTGAGCAGGTCCTGCATGCGGGGCCGCAGTGAGCGTCCGTCCCCCTCTGCCAGCCCTCGGGCCTGTGAGCTGCCGAGCTGCGTTTCCTGGGCTGCCCAACACCGCAGGAACGCGGTGTCGCTCGGGGGGAAGCAGAAGCAGGGGCAGGTTTTGGTCCTCGGCGGTGCAAGCTGGCCTTGGTCCGCTGTATAAGGGACGACTTGGTGAAGCAGTAAGTGCTTAAACACTTGAGTTCTTCCTACCTGGTTAAGATGGTGCCTGGCCGTGATGAGTCCCCTTCTTTGGGGACAGCCACGTCCCGGTGCACCTGCTGGTGGAGCTGCCTGGCTGCACAGCATCAGTGCTTCTCTGAAAGCTGGCGAGCCTCTGCCTTGACTCAGGAATGTCTGGCACTGCGCTCTGCCCGCTCTTCTCCTCAGAACAGGGAGAGGAAAGGACAGAGACGAGTTCTCGTCTCGAACACGACACGCAGGAAGAGGAGGGGCGGGTGCTGGGACGAGGGTCTGGGTGGCAGTTGTGTGCCGTGGGGCAGGGGGGCCCGGGGAGCTGCTGACCCCTGTCGTCTTCCCTTGCAGAGAGGAGATGTACTACAAGGCCGTGCACAACACGGCCGTCCTCTTCCTGCAGAACAGCCCGGGCTTTGCCAAGTGGGAGCCCACGCCGGA